TGTTTTTTATTTGCATCTGGCATAACTAGCACTGGTGCAGAAGAGAAATTGTCTTTGAGGCTTCTGAAAGCCTTTTCTTGCTTGTCCGTCCATTCCCATGGTACATTCTTTCTGATAAGCTCATTCATGGGTCTGGCAATGTTTGAGAAACCAAAGATGAATTGATGATAAAAGTTCGCAAATCCCATGAATCTCTGAATATCCTTGACGCAGGTAGGAGTGGGCCATTCCTGAACTCCTTTGACCTTGATCAGATCCATAGAGACGTGTCCATCCTTGACGATCAAACCGAGAAACTCCACTTCCTTCTTCTCAAAAGAGCACTTTTCCGGTTTGAGATAGAGATCATTGTCCTGTAGTCTCTGTAGTACCTCGCGCACTACCTTCCGATGTTTCTCTACATCATTGTTGGTGAAGACCAAGATGTCGTCAATGTAGACTACAACGACCTTGCCTTCCTTCAGATCTTGGAAGATTTGGTCCATCATAGTTTGGAAGGTAGCTGGGGAGTTCGTCATGCCTGAAGTACATTACGACTGGTTCATGGTGTCCAAAAGGAGTTTTGAAGGCGGCCTTCCTACTGGTCTCCTTCCTTCATTCTAATGTTGTTATAACCCCATCGAACGTCCATCTTCGAAAAAAGCTTTGCACCAGAGAGATGATTGATGAGATCCTGAGAACGAGGGAGAGGGTATGCATTGCAGGATGGTTTTCTCATTTAATCTCTGATAGTCCATGACTGGTCTGAGCTTTCCGTCCTTCTTAGCAACAAAAAAGAAAGGAGCTGCTACTGGAGATTCGGAATCTCTCAGTCATCCCAAGTTGTATTCCTGCTTCAGCCACTTTTCACATGCATCATTTTCGGTGGGGGATAGGGGATATGCCTTTGCATTGGGAGGAAGATTGTTAGGGTCCTTGAGGTCTACCTTAAGATCCCACTTCTTAGACTCGGGGAATCGAGTAGACTCTTCTTCAGAGAAGACCTTAAGATAGTCATGGAGCCAGTCTGGCACCATTTCCTCTACAGGCTTCTTTTCCTTCTTCTTCTCCTCCTGCTGCGCTAACTCTGACGCGACAGAGCTTTTGTATCTGATCCACACGTTCTGTGATGAATCTTCATCCTCGACCTCCTCAATCTGCACATTCTTGGTAGCTCTGTGTCCAACAGTAGTAGCAAGGTCCGATTGTTCTTCTTCCTCAAGCTTCACAGGTATAGTACCCACATGTCCTTGCATTTTAGAGCTGAGGCTGTTCGACTGAACCTGATGATGGATAGAGGCTTCCTCGATATCCTCATCTTCTTCTGCTGGTATCAAATCGGGTAACACCGAAAGGATCGAAGAGTTCGTGGATCTTCGTTTCTTTGCCTTAGTCTTTTTGTCCTTGACCTTGGTTTCTTGGCATTTAACCGGACAACAGGTCTAGTGCCACCCTTCCTGCATTCCAATCGATACTGGGGTTGTGGTATCGTAGCCAATCTATTCCAATGATAACATCATCGGATCCTAGGTCTGTGACCAGAAAGGCTACTTCTTCCTCATGGTCCCCTATCGTGAGCTTCAAATCTGATAGGATGTAATTGGTCCAGCGGAATTGTCTGTTTTGTCAATATTATGGATTGACATTGGTTTAAATAATTGTTTGGTCTGGACTTGATTCTTTTCTACAAACTTCTTTGCGATGAAGAGGTTTGTTGCTCTGCAGTCTACTAGAGCTTTGACGGCTGCTTTCTTATTTTTTCCCTCCAACATAACTGGCAAGTAGAAATGGTCTCGTTTATTCCCAGAACAAACTTCTGATACTTCTGCAAACATAATTGCTGAGTCACCAAGAATGGAAAAACAATTTCTCTGATCTAAGTCTGCAGTCGACTTCAATCTCCCTAAAAACCCTTCTGCTCCTCTTTCTTCGCTGGGTTGTACATGCTGGAGAGGCAGATCCTCTCGTTGACGATGCAGTTAATATCTTCCAGTGTGAGCGGTTTCACAGCTGGAACTTCTTCTACCTTGCCGGTACGGACAGCTGGTCCTTTGCCTTTGTCAAGGGGCTTTCCCATGCAGTTACGAGCCATATGCCCTTCTTCTCCACAGCTGGTAGCACTTGAAAACACATCCTGGTTGTCCTTGAGGTCGGGGTCTACCTCCTGTCCTGGTTGCATCAACATCCATGGTGTTTCCTCCCTGTGGCGTAGTCTTGGGTGCTCCAGCTGGTGCAGATGTCGCGGCGGCACCTTGCCAAGGTTCGTCGAGGGTTGAAGTTCATCTTCCTCTCGTCATCAAGCTCCTTGAGGTTTTGTCCAATTAGAAGCGCCTCCCTGATCAATCCCTCTAGGGTGTCTTTCCTGTTAGGGTGGATATTGGCCAAGTAGTTTTTAACTCATTGGTCCAATCCAAAGCGGAGTTTGCGCATCAATTCGTAATCAGAGAAGTGACAGAAAGCAAGTTTCTGACGGAAGATGGAAATGTACTCTCCGACGGTACGATTGCCTTGTCGGAGAGCTTCCAATTCTCTTGCTGCCTTCTCCTCTTTGTTGACGACGGTCCACATGACCTTCATGTCCTTGACTGATGCTGTTCGTAGGACCCAGGGATGGCCGCTGAGAGCCATGGGGGTAATGCTTTCCACCCATTTTGCTGCGGCTCCCCGACAGAAGGAAATGAGGCATGTACATCTCTGTGTTTCCATTGCTCCAGGGTAGCCTGTGAAGTAGATTTCGAGCTGGGTGAGGAATGTGTCGAACGTCAATGGAGTTCTTGTCCCCTGTGAAATCCATTGATTTTCGCCATCTTGAGATCAGAGCCTGAAGTCCCAGATGTAGAGCCTGGGATCTTCATTGTAGGCGAGGTTTCCAAAAGCGTGATCTTGTCTTCTGTGTCCCTCAGCCTGATCTTCAGGTAGTCGATCTCGTCGTCCGCGTGCACCAGGCCTGCTTGCAGCTCATCAATCTCCTTCTGCAGACCTGTCTATTAAGTGTCTGGTGTACTCTCTTTCTGTTACAACAACAGCAGTTGATTGCGCACTGAAATGTCCTGATGGGTGATGGTACTCGACCCGGGCCCAGGAGATGCCTGAAGGGTGCAGAAGGGCCTGCGGTTGGGGTGGTGGATTGTCCTGCAGATGCCAATGGGCCCAATGGGTTCATCCATCCTTGCGGGGCCGGAGAGTGGATTGCACCCCTGGGTGGAGTTGCTACTCTTGGTACAACTGGGGGAGTGTCTATCACTTCCGTATCCTCTGAAACGTTGATCCCAGTTTCTCCTAGATTCTCGGACATGGAAATAGGAGCAATGGGAATCCAGACAGGAAACATTGTTGTGAAGTGCGAAAGCCCTAGCCTCGACTAGGCAGGGATCTGTACTGGCAGGGCAATGATGACAAAGGTGCGAATGCAGCGTGTGTAGCGGTTCGTCAACCTATGTAGAACTCGAGAGGAGTTCGCGAAAGACCTGGTGAACTTTGGGTCTACTTTTAGCACCCTAGGTTCCTATCATAAGGTATTTAGACAGTGAGAGGACTGTCGCGAGTGCCCGTTCTGTTACGTAGAAAGCAGATATTGTAGCGTACAGTTGGCAGGGTTTGGGGCCTAACTGCAGACGTGCAGAAACAGGACCTAAGTGTCACTGATCCTTATGAACTGGCTGGCTCAGTAGTAAGACAAGGGCCTGGTTCACTTCTACTAAAGGTAACGTAAAGAGATTGGTATAACAAACGCATCGGGGAATGGTGATTGAATTTAAACGTAATCTGCAAGATAAATCTCAGCAGAATAGCACAGTGAAGTTCATCAAGAACGGTGACGTCCAAGACAAAGTTCGAGTCGGAGTGGTAAGATAGACTTAACCTAATGTTATGACCAACATTCACCAATAATGATGAAGGCGAGTACACAACCACTAGGACTCGGTCAAGAGGATAATGAACAAGATGGTATTGAGCGTGAACGTCTAAGTCACTACAAGCATAGGAAACAAAGAGGTTAAGTCTAAGGAGTACTTACACTAACTAACCTATTTATATACATAACATTGAATAGGAGTCTGAAAGAAATCAGCCAATGAGAAAAGAGTCGTACGATACTGCAGATGACTAAGTATGACATCATAATATATAAGCGAATGAGTAAGACAGCAACTAAACAGAAACCCAAGTTCCAACCGGTTCTTCTTTGGGAAGTGAGATTGTTCTAGCCCGTGGAGTAGGGGAGCCAATCGGAGAAACCACAGGTGATATGTGAAGAGGTGAAGGTGTGACAGGGTAAGGAGTCACGTGACCGGTTTGGGTACTGGAAGTAGCCGAAGGAAAACCGAGAAATGAAAAATGGTTCATATTAGGAATTCATGACAGGGTGTCATGCTCCCGCGCAGTCTTGATGTCTAGATTGCGATGATTTGCAGTTGTATTGTCGTGGATGTACTCTGACCAACCATGTGCGGTCTCCCACCCATCGAATACAGGTACTTACATGTTGTTGCAGTACAATTTCAAAATATTAAATTATTTGCAGGAATGGACTGGCGAGTTCTTCCAGGGGGTGTCATTGAAGACTCTCGGCCTTCGAGTCCAGCTTGGGCATCCTGCCGGCCAACGTTGCATTCTCCCTCGACCGGCATTCAAGGATGAGTTCAGTGCTAATAGACACGAATGGAATCCACAAAGTGGGGTTGGATTTTTGTAGTTGTGAAACTTCCGACATGCACGTCAGGCAACTTCTTCGTCATGGCTGGTTCCCATCAACATCGATTGACCCCAGGACTGCAGCGACTGTTTCGACTACTGCGTCACTTTCAAATATTATCTTTCGAGTCCAAGGCTTCTGCATATGAATACTACCACTCATTAGTCCGTCTAACAGATAACACAGGTCTCACAAAACCCAAGGTAAGGTGCTTCAATATTCTGGCCACTCACAAGTTTAATGTTTGACTTTAGGACCGCTATAATGCATTCATGTGAATGGTACAGCGAGTGGAGGCATCTCAAAATGCTGAAACATTTCGGTCATGGTCATGAAGCGAGCGGTGTTGGGGGCACATCACAAGGCGAATGTGTTGTTATCTGTCCTGGCTTGTCCCCAGCCTGGTATGAATTTACCTGATGGCTGGGAGCATGCAATGAAAGATAAACAGTAAGTATCAGAGACGTGTGAGCATGATGATGATGAGCTAATGTTTATTTCAGGTGGTTGTATGCTACATTTGTCGCCATAGATGCAAACTTTCATTTGAAGAGGCGTAACGTGTCGACTAACGAGGCCAACCCCAGCCTCTCTAAAGGATGGTCGTATTTTGTGGAGGAGGATGATTATAAGTCATATCTAGCCGAGCATCTTGGCGAAGCACAAGAGGTACGTGTTCTCCATATTTTTCTGTATCTTTCTCATTTCATCTCACAGAAAAGCACTTGTTTGAGTCACAACTGCTGTGAACATGGCGGATACAAAATTGTCCCAAGGACTGGCTGCAACTGGTGTTGGCACTGATCGACTGCACACACCACAATCTGAAGCGAGGTAATGGAGTTGGTGATCTGCAGAAAGGCGAAAAGTACAGTCGAAGGCTGAACCACACTTAGGTGTATGGAACTGATCATGTTGTATAGGTACATTAATATGGATTATCTCTTTTTCTCGACATTGCAGTAACAATTCCCTCAAAATGTTGAACGTGTTGTATGACATCATGTGCCAGTGGCACAAACACATCTGGTCATGTATGAAGTCACTCCCTTGGTCCCACCATTTAGACCATGTCTCAAAGATTATTCACTTCTTCATACCGAAATTTCACCTTCCCGCGCACGTCGCAAAATGTCAATCAATATTCTTGTTCAACTTCACTCGCTTCGTTGGCCGGATGGATGGCGAGGCCCCGGAAAGAGGTTGGTCAAACATTAATCCAGTGGCCTCGAGTACGAAGAACATGGGTCTGGGTTGCCATCGAAGACACGCTCGACGACCACTTCAGTGACTGGAATTGGAAGAAGGTAGTAGGGTTGGGTGCTTCACTGTTGAATAAGATGAAAGATGCTCTCATTGAAAGGGCTGAACACCAGGCCACTTTTGACGAGTTTGATGCCGTGATCTCTATCGAAACATTGTGCAACATGGCTCAGTGAAATGGTGGTTTAGGGAACAGAATCCTAACGACACAATGATTCCCAATCCACTTGAAACCAAAGCTACCAGGTAAGTAAAGCCCACTCTCCTAGTGATCCCTCACTGACAATAGATGTAGCAATTACACAGGCGGGTGCATGGCTCAGACTGGCTGAGCTGGAAGCCGACTGAGTTGGAGCTCAGGAATAGATGTCTCATTACATCCAGAAGTCTCACCTAGTGTGCTTATCGCGTCTGGTCTAGACCTGGAAGAAGAGCAGTAAGTGGCCTATTGTTAAGGTCGTGCTCAAGGGAGAGGTTACTCAAAGGGCTTCGGCTTCAGCTCGTGCGCTGCGCCCCTTACCCGAGTATGTGCCCTTTAATTTCTGGGGGACAGAGGGGAAGTCCGACGGAAGTCCGGGGAGTTCCGGAGGACTTAGTGTCGGTGGAGTTCGGCGGAACTCCGGAAGGTTTATGCGGGGACGGAGTAAGGCTACTATGGAAGTCCGGAGTAGAAACAGAACAGAGGTTAGACTACCCTAAGGTAGAGCCAGAGAAGTAGTCCTAAGGTTTAACCCCTAAGACTTGGAGGTGGACAAGAGGTGAGACTCAAGTCCGGAGATTGCAGGAATGAGCAGAACTAAGATGATATTCAAACTGAGGAGTTCCGGAGTATTACAGGGGTTTATATACTGTAGGTATCTTGTAAGTAAATCAGTCAGCAAAGGTAAGGGCTATGTATGAAGCATGTGGAAAGTCTATTACTAAGTATAACAGATCAAAGCAGTGAAGTTGGAAATGAAGTAAGAATGGACGGATCAGTAAGCATAGCGGAGTAGGACATAACCAGTAACCGGAGCAATAGCTAATCTAAAAGGAGTTAGGGGTGAGTGCGGAGATGAAGGCGGAGTGCCAGGCAGAATAGTAAGATGGAGGACTGGACTTCAATGAAGTAGATCCGGAATTCTGGATCCAGAGGTATGGGATATGACAGTAGTTCTCAGTGCAGGCAGTGTTTGGAGTTGGTGAGACAGTTGAATTGGGGTAGCGGGAGGTTGGAGTGGTGGAGTGACTGGAACAGCTAGGTGCTGCTGGTACTATTCTGAGCAGGTTGGTTAGCCCTAACAGATAATGACTCCCCCTCGTTCTGGGCAACTTTGCCTACTATAACCCCAGACAGAGCAAATGTCATGTTCCTCTCGACCGACACCTTTCGCCTCAGCGGCCAATAGACACGATAACCCTTGCTTTCAACATCTATACCCACAAAGAGTGCTTCTTCTGCACGCGCCTCAAGCTTCCCATATGCTCCAGGTGCACAAAGACAGGACAACCTGAATTCGCAGGCCTGCGATAAGTCTGGAATGCAGTCATTCACAAGCTCTGAAGGGGGTATGACCTGGGATGGCGCTAGATGGTAAGTGATTTTTCAACCATACTGCATAGTTAATTGCCTCCGCCCACAGAGACTTGGGTAAGTCCCATGCTATCAACATCGCGCGGGCATGCTCAACCAGAGTGCAATTGAGCCTCTCCGCCACTCCATTCTGTTGGGGAGAGTCGTGCATGGTCAGCTCACGAGCTATGCCACGATCCTTGAGGTGTGCATCAAATTCTGCACTCAAGTACTCGCCGCCTCTATCAGACCGAAGTGTCTTGATTCGGCGACCATTGTGCTGCATGGTGAGCTTGGTTTCATACTGATGAAATGCATCTAGGGCTTCGCTCTTCTGCTTCAAGAATATCATGGCCGTCTCCCTCAAGTAGTCATCGGTAGAGCTCATGTAATAGCTTGATCCGGCCAGACTGACCATCTGTGCTGGTCCCCAGAGGTCGCTGTGGATAACTTCACCATAAGTCTCTGCTTGTCTCTTGGATTCCTTTGGAAACAGGCGATACATTGACTTCGCCTTTACACAGGCATCACAGAACTCGTCCTTCGAGGAGGAGTCGAGCTCGAGGCTGTGGACTAGGCCCTTGTCAATGGTGTGCTTTACAGCTGCCTGTGAGATATGGCCAAGGGTCTTGTGCAGGTCGTGGACGGTGAGTTCGACCGTAGCGAGATTAGCATAGTGCTTAGAACGTGCGGCGATGCTGTATAGCCCTTCAACTTGGGGAATAGTGGGTATGACAGTGCAGTCAGGCCCAGGGGACATGATCTTACAGACCTTGTCTTCAAAATGAACGGCGAGACCGCCCGCTGTTATACGACAGGTGGATATTAACATGAAGGCCATCTTGGGCGCGTATAGCACATTACGCAGAGTAACAGATGTTCGGCCTTTTCCATTCGGTAAGTCCAACTGGACGTCACCTTTTCCGATCGCACTAACAGCCGATCCGTCAGCCATATGCACATCTTGAGGCTCTATGGGGACAAAGTTGAGAAACTTCGAACGGTCGGGACAGAAATGGGAGGGGGCGCCTGAGTCTATAATGGTGCCGCGTTGTTCAACCGGTATGTTCATCTGCCCAGCTATACCAGCGAGGTCTGACGTTGCAAAGGCATAGTTCGTTTCGGACTCTGGGGTGGATGCTGCTGCATTCACGCCTTCCTTTGGTGAGCGTGGACCCTTCTTCTGATGCTGATTCGGCCCTTGCCCTTCCTTTCCTCCTCCTGGCCTCCAACAGTCGCTCTTATAGTGGCCCTTCCTATCGCAGTTGAAACAGGTCACGTCAGGGTTGGCTTGGGTCGATCTGCCAGCCTTGCGGCCCTTTCCAGGACCTCCCTTTGCCATCAAAGCTGCGCTGTTGGCCTTCTTTGAACCGCGTTGATCCGTGAGGAGCCTATGCTCATACTCTTCAGATACAATGTTAATGAGTTCAGACGGGCTGAGAGGCGTTTGGGTAACCTTTGCGGCTGCGTTTATGGAGGAAAGTAGGGGTCAATAGGATTCTGGGAGGGATCCTAATAGGATCACGTAGAAGTCTCTGTCTTTGATGGCGGTGCCCATGCCCACCAACGATTCGCGGAGCCGAAGCATCTCACTAAAGTGAGCCTTTACGTCTCTGTTCTCTTCACACCTCGTTTCTTGCAATCGACGACGCAGGTCAATTTGAACGAGTTTGGTTTTACCCTCGTGAATATCACATATTTCTGCCCAGATCTTCGAGGTGTCTTCTAGCTTTTGAACGCGGAGGAGCATGCGATCAGTAATAGTGCTGAATATGTGCTGCTTAACAAGTGAGTCCTTTTGGAAGAACTCATCCATTCTTTTCTCTAACTCCTCGATCTCTGTAGGCGTAGGCGTCGAGCCATCAGGCTTCATAGCGCTCTTCGTCGTCGGGTCGACTTTAAATGGGATCAGTTTTGTCGCTCGACCGTTGGTATAACACATCAAACCTCAAGCACCTATGGATGTCAACATTCTTTCCTTGTAGGTTATCCAATTTGAACCATCTTCGGCTAACTTGGGGACATTGAAGAGGGCAGAGGTGTTACTGGGGAGCGTGGTATCCATGGTCGAGTCAGGGCTCATAACCTGTAGTTATGCGAGCTGAGCGAATGCGAATGGGAGGAGCTGATAAGAATATAATATCTCAGTCTCGAGTAAGGACTCAATGTAAAGTAATGTAGTACCTGATAAGAATATAATCTATGGGTATGTTAGCTCGATTTACATAGACGGGAAAAGTAGGTACTCACATCTCAGTCTCGAGTAAGGACTGAGATGTTCTAACGAAAACTCGTAGGTTTATAGTAAGTAGCTTAACGATAAATAAATATACCGTAGCTTAGGAATAGACAGTTCAATATTAGTATTCTCGGCCGACGTCAAAGCGTTGTGCTTCGCATTCTCGGATTGCGCTCGTACCGTTTCACTTTACTATCTCTTGCTCTTTCGTTCCTGAATCTAACAGATAACTCATTGCATCCTTCATCAGTGAACTGGTCAGTTCTTGCTCTGTAGTTTTGTCACGCTTTGTATACTTTGTCACGTGAGGTTGCTCGGTTTTGTATGAGCCCTACCTAAGTCTACCTTAGCGATTATGTAGATTGCGGTGGTTTTACATGATCATATATTGCTTTATATTCCAATGCGACGAAACGCGAAACTATATATGACAATATCTGCGGCTCACCGGCTCTCTGATGACTCACTTCTGCCGAGCAAGTGTTCATAAGGGATGCTAAATTCTAAAATGTCGTTGTCGCGAGTCTGCGACAAGGTTGAGAACTTCTCCCATGTGAAGGTTTAGCCGAGCGGTGGTGGACAAATTAGGAAAGGTTTAGGGTCCGTGTAGGTTACTTACGAAAGGATGACCGTAAGGTCAAGTGCACAGCGACAACGACTTGAGCATCCCTCATCCCACACTTCTGACAAGCCCGATACCGTAGGCGGACTGAAGTGCGTAAAGCACACCTTATCTTCTACTCGATAGCATCCACTTTCTCATGGAACTCCGAAGGAATATGTATTCGACTGGTCAAGTGATGTCTTGTGCCACCACCGGAAAAGTCAGGGTGTGAACCATGCGTCTCAATGCCTTGGCCGTGGCTCCATACTAGTAGTGATAAACGGTTTGTTCCATCCATGGTAGGAGCCAAAAACTGTGCCAGTCTCCCATAAAGAATGTGTGGCTTACGGTAAACAACTAAGGGAGTGTCGCGCGTTCTTAATACTAAGCTCATTGACATTACATCCTTCAGCGCTTGGAGCATACTTATCTCCGGCGGTTAATCAACAGCCGTCTAAAGTTGGATATATGCTAGCCTCGGATTTAGCTCCTTATCGGTCGGTCACGCATATAATGGAAGTTCGCCGCCGTCAATTTTCTTTGACTTGGAAGGTCCCCCTGCTTCACTTTGCATCATGGTGCACGACATTGACGATTCCGTAGTGCCCGGATCAGTCTACCTCGTCGACGTCCAGGAGAAAACGACGATTGTGCACGCAGGAACAGACAGTGCTATTGTGCTCAGTCCGACGCCTTCGAATGACATCAACGATCCCCTGAATTGGAGTAGAGGTCGAAAGCTTCTGCAGGTCATCTGCGTGATGATATGTGCGTGTCAACGCCTAGCATATGATGTATCGGACTCTTACTCTGTCCACAGACACAAGTACAATCGGTATTGGGACGACTGTTCTGTACTCAATCTTGCAGCCCATCTCTAATGATACGGGGATACCGCTTTCAACGCTAAATGCAGGCACCGGATACAGTGGGCTTATCTCTATGTTTTCTTCTTTTGCTTAGATTTAACGTCGCATTGTTGGCGCGAACAGTGTTTCTTTGTAGGTTGTCATTATTGTTTGTGATGACCAGGTATAGATGACGTCGGAATACTAGTCTTGGGCCGGGGCGCATTGATAAATCAACCGCTTGCTCTTACCTTCGGAAAGCGTGGTATATACCTTATTTCGGTCCTTGGCAATACTGTAAGAGTGACGTCATGTTATCCGAATTGAAGGCTGACTAACATTTGGCAGGCCATGTGTCTATGGACGCCGTACATCAAGACGGAAGGCCAGTGGTATGCAGCGCATTTCCCAGCTAACAGGCCATTCGAGGCTTATCCACCACCAGGATCGCCAGCAAAATTGTGCAAGGTTACCTCTGCACCCCTGTCGAAAGTCTGTGCGAAGTCAGCATTGCAGATATAGTAAGTATACCAAGATACCTGTTCACTCAAATAAGCTGAATTCACCCTGGTAGTTCTTCGCGCATGAGCGTGGAACGTATATTGGAATTTACACGCTCTTTCTCTTTGGGTCAGTCTTGAGTGTATAAATCTTGGCTCGTGTTGACCTTGCGACAGGTCAAACTACTTTGCACCACTCATTGCCGGCGTACGTGTCACATTCCAGATTGACTTCCTCAGTTTCGTCCTAACTTTTGATCAAGTTCATTTATGATGGTCAGGGATGGCATTGGGTAATGTACTGGGCTGCAATCATAAACTTCGGTTCCCTCATAATACTGTTTTTCTTCATGGAAGAGGTGCGTTGTATACCATTGGTACCAATTAGTGCTGATACCCAGGTGTAGACGAACTTCGTGCGCAATACAAGCGAAGCGACAGAAGCTGTAGACTTGAATACCAAAGCAAGTACTGAGAAAGATGACAAGGCCTCAACTACGTCATCCCCTGTCTCTTCTGGGGATTTGACAGGCGTGCCCAAAACATACTTACAACGGCTCCCTCTATTTGGCGGGCGCTATGCATCAAACAAGCTGTTGCTCACGATGACGTACCGCCCTATATTTCTGTTGCGCTTCCCTGTCATTTTCTGGTGAGTCGTCCATTGAAAGTGCGGAGAACGCAAGTTCACTCTTTCAATAGGGCAGGATTTCAATATGGAACATGTCTTGTTTGGTATAACGTCCTAAATGCCACGTGCTCCTTGATCCTCAGTGAACCACCTTACAACTTCAGAGCAAGCTCCGTCGGATTGACATACATTGGACCTTTGATTGGCATGTTTATAGGGTACGGTCGCTCTGGCTTGCCCTCGTACAATCTTTTGATATTGGTGCAGAACATTCTACAGTGGGTGGGTGGGTGATCGGTTTGCTGTGAAATATGCTCGTCGGACGCGTGGTATCCGAGAACCAGAGCATCGCCTTTGGCTCATGGTTGTCTCACTTCTTTTGTGTCCAGCGTCTCTAATCCTCTGGGGAGTTGGTGCGTCCAAGGGCATCAGCTGGGTTGGCCTCGTCTTCGGCATGGGCATTATTTCTTGCTCGACTGGCATTGGCTCTGCACTCTCTATAGGCTACGCCCTGGATTCATACAAAGATTTGAGTGGGGAGGTGATGATGGCTGTGATCCTCGTTCGCGTAAGTACCGCCAACTCGTAACATTGTTGTACCCGTTCTGAATGCAGGATTTTTCGATCGTAGAACACACTTTCATTTGCTATTGTAAGTCGAGATATTAACTTCACCTTACCATATTGACGCATGCTCTTGTAGGGATATGGGATCACCCCTTGGCTCCACATGGGCTACCAGAACACATTCATATCTGCAGCCTTCGTCGGGCTTGCCGTTACAATGACTTTCCTCATTGTTATCAAGTGGGGAAAGAGTTGGCGAATAGCGAGTCGCAAAAGATATTGGGGATACGTTGCTGATGGTACCCTTGGGCATTAGTCACGTTGGCGAGTTGATCCTTGACATGTCTAACCATGTCCTTGTCATATTGCGCAGAACATCGAGCAAGTCGCAAAAAGTTTCTATCGGAAGGTAAAGACACCTCTGGTGGACGATGTGGCATGTCGAGTTATTGCTTTTTTGTGAAAGTCAAGCATCGTTTGAGCTGTCGCAGACGAAACAAATTCGAATCTTCATGGATATACGCTGAGAGCTGAATCATCCGCTTCATTTTCAAAGGCATCGCAATGTTCCACACACGAATATTCCAGGTGGGTGGTACCAACAAGTCGTCATCCCTAGTATGTGTTGCTTATCGCGCGTTGATCCCGCGGTCGCCCGCGTGATTGATATCGCCCTCGACATTAAGACGTGCCTGACATCAACGCTGGCTGTCACATAGGTCCTCACATTGCCTTTAATTGGTTTGGACATCGCACTGCCCCCGATGCGCCGACGTGTCTGGAACAGCGTCGCTACTAATGCATGTCTCTGGTAAATGCTAATGGATAACCACCGACGCGCTTTTGTCGTCATCTCGCAAGGAGAAAACCCGATATAGTTATGTCTCATTGGCATTTCAAAAATCGACGAGCGTCCCAAGTAAGTAGAGGCTGCTGCATACCAGGAGATCCTTCAAAGCAGAAGTTGTATCCCATCATACTTTGGACTCACGCTCTTCGCCCCCATCCTGGTGGGACGCATGATCATCCACTACATCGTTCCTGCCCCTCACCCGTTTCGTGCCGAGTACCCCACCCACGTCCGCGGGCCCTATTTTTCCCTAATGCCTATTGTTAAAGACGTACAGGTCCCAAGTTGCGCATCACTTACCTACCGCACCTCAATCTGAAACAGATTAATGTCGACACAAGCAACCTATCCTTCGAAAGACATGGGCGTAAATAAAGGAGATGGCTGGGACAATATGGATTCATGGTCTAAATACATATGATTCAGGGCACAGCGTATCGGATTATGGGGCTCTACCACATGAATGTAGCGCTACTGTGGAGTGCAGTTGTTATGAGTGAATTTCTACAATCGAGGCTAATTTGTCCACATCGCCAATTTTTTCGTCAGATTTCGTGCTATGTTGTACAAGATCAGGGTTTTCTGGTTGGGATTTGTGGTTCGTACTGCGGTCGTAAAAGATTGATATCGAAATGAATTGAAGAGCCACGATTCCAAGGAGGAACCAACATGTGGCCGCTCGTCCTGTGTATTCTTGCGAACCCCCATGGGCAGCCTCCACAGATGACTCTATCGAGCTGCTAGCAGCGAGGCCAATTGCGGATCCAAATTGAAGTGCACCGTTAAATATGGCGCCAACTGTGCCAGCCATGGATGAAGGCGCAGCTTGGAAAATAGCAATGCTGCGAAGCAATCAAACCGTGGTCAGAAAACCATGGATATTTGGAACTTACTTCGCAAGTGAATACGTGAGCAACATTCCTGAAGTTCCTAGAGAAAAAGCTGGGAACACATACGGCCAATAATTCTCTGGCTTCCCCCCACCGAGCGCCAGCAATACGGTAGCGATCATGCACAGTGACAGACCGACGAGAATGATCCACTTCGGACTGAAGATACGAGAAAGTGATCCGGTGAAAAAACTCAAAGCCAAGCCCACGATACCCATTGGCAACCTAGCGAGCAAAAATATTTTAATGCTTAGCGGCATGGAGTGATCGTGAAGTCCTTACATGTGTACGGCAGTCGATATTACCGACCAGTGAAACACATTTTGCCACATGGTGCTAAACATCGTCATCATCGTGTTCCACCAGAAGAATGGCAAGAGTGCAACTGCGAACAGAACGGAGAAGTTAGTGTAAAACCACGTCCGGGGTGGACTGGTACAAAATCAGTCGATGATGTGTGCGCGATAATTCCCGATAAATACATTGCAGCTTTTTCCACAGGCAAGAGGGTTTCCCAATAGAAAAAGCTAACCACCATTAAAGTTGATACGATCAAGAGGACCAACACCATTGGGGATTTCCAACCATCAGTTGAACCGGATGTCACAGCGAACATGAATAAAATGAAGGCAACTATAGGGCTCGTGAGCGATGCAAAAAGGAGTGAGCTGAAATATTCATACCCGTTAGAATACATACGCCGACTAAATCAAGATTTTTCCATTTCGCCCCTTCAGGCTCGGGAGTGTCTGCAGTCTCTCCAATTTGTGACGGTATGATGAAAACACAAACCAGAGCCAGCGGACAAGCCACGACGGCTACAAACAAGAACACCCAATGATAAGACGCCCACTGGACAAACATTGCACCGATCACGAGGCCGCCGACTATGCAAAGGAACCATGAAGCTCGCTATGCATAACCAGATGTGCGGGGTGCTCACTGTTAGCGATCGCACCAGAGCATCCAAAGAACCCTATTGCCCGAGCTTGTTCGAGCGGATCGGGAAATACCTTGACGAGGAGTGCAAGGGCAGAGGGGACCGTCATTGAAGAAGCTGATCTTCGTCAGCCAGAACAAACACACCGGCGAATGTTGGGCGAATACTCACCTATTCCAGTGAACGCCCTGACGGTGATTAACGGAATTTTGGTATCAATAAATCCGGCACACAGTGAGAGGATACCGAGGCTGAACACTCCTCCGACGAAGGCAATTTCTATTAACCTGTCAACACACCGCCTAACATGGACAGCACAAGCACTGACTTGGATTGTATACATCGCTGATACGGCCACTCTAAACAATGCGTTGAAGTGCAGGTCAGAATAACGGGATGAGCACGCACGATAAGCAGGAATGATGAAAAAGTCAACTGGGATGCACTAAAGATCCAAGTAGATTGAGTTTCAGTCATGCCCATGGAAATATCGAGTACAGGGATCGCAGAAAAAAGAGCTGCAAAATTGAAGGAATCTAAGGACTGGGCGAGACATAACATAGCAAGCAAAACAAGCTTGCGGGTGAGAGAAAGTCTTTTGTGAACTAGCACATCGACCACACGCGGAAGTGGCGGCATTGTGATGAAAGCTGCAGACAAAGTCAGGTAGTTTAGGAACACTAGCTGGCGAATTCGGGGTGGTTGAAAACATTCCTCAGTCTAATTTAAAGTATGAATCAGGTCAGCATTATGAGGGATCTTCATGACTAACTTGAACCAGATACCACCGATTCTCGGCGTCGAGGTCCTGATCACAGATAAGACCTAGATATGACTCATCTCCAAATCAAATTATGGTGTCGTAAGCGTCACTCTGTGTGAGGGTCGCTCGATAACCCTGCTAGTGGAACCTGGAAACGAAGGTTAGCCGCAGTTCGTTCAATGGACAAATGAAGGAATGACAGAATCCAATGAAACACAACTCGAAGCCACGCCTTCACAGATTGCTCATAAGAAACAACCCTCAAGTTACCTCGGAACAGCGGGAATTCTAAAGGTCACAATGAGACACTGATGTGACGCATGCATAATGAACATCGCCTCGCTTACATAAACTAAGTCCACGTAGTATGTGAACTTGTACCGGGTCCTAGGAGGTTAATTGAAAATGGCACAGAGACAATCGTGTCAGTCGTAGCACCGAAGAAGATGAAAATCACTGACGCAGATCTTTGAAGCACGAATATTTCAGTGGGCCAAGGTAAGTCTCTTTTTATGACCACAACGTACTACTTACCATGATATTGATAGAAGGCTTGAGTCGGATTAAAATCGCGACAGTGACGTCACACGTGCGTGCTTTGCGCCAGCAGGTGAAAGTACGCATCCTCGCACCTCAACTTTAGTTCAACCTCGTGCTCGGGTAGGAAACTGCTTTCCTGGCAGTTCGAACTTCGTGGCTCAGTGTTCCATAATGTCCGCGAGGAAGATGAGAATTGCAAAACTGTCGAACGGACGCATCGGATTCGAGCGATAAGCCCGCAGGGCTTTTCCGGACCGAAACATGAGCTTCGAACTCGTGCCCGGTACTAAGAACGAGATATTGGAAACCTTGAGGGATCTCAAGGTGAGCGAATATGATTTACATAACCCGCGGTAGGGCGTGACGCGGCTCCAGCGAAGCTTGACATCTTATCGCATACTGACGGCACGAAATATCTTCCATTAACGTAAGCATACAAACTGCAACATCAAGCACAAATTCCCATGTACCAACGTTACCCTTTCACTTCAGAACAGCGACATCGCAACCCCCATGAGCTTCTGCATCTCCCCTGGCTGCATATTCACCTTACCCGTCGACTTGTACTCCCCCATCAGGCGCATTGCAGTCGCCGCAGCTGATTGCATAGCTAAAGGTAGCACGTCCTCAGCACAAGTAATAATACATCAGGCGGAAAATTTACCTTGTGACTTTCCTTGATTGTCTCCCCCGCCCTTCTTGTCGAAAAGTTTGCCTGCCTGGGCCATCGCCAGGGCAACCTATAGGATTGAGCATATCGTCTACAAAGATGGTAAAGAAACCTACGATCTTGTCCTGTGCGCCGCCACCTCCTGAAGGAGCCTGAGGTTTAGCAGAGGCTCCCTCATCCTCGTCCTCGGATCCAGATTCAGATCCAGACTTCTGCGTTCTGCGGTCGCCCTTGCGGCTTTCCGCCAGATCCTGCTGCGTTCTGTGGTCGCCCTTGAGGCTTTCCGCCACTCGGTCTTCCGCCCACGTCCTGTGAATACTGCGCATCAGAAGAAAGGCCTTGAAGATGGTCTCCCATGGGGAGTGTCCGTAGCAGCCTGGAATCCACCCTGCGGTCTACCCCCCTGCTGCGGGCTGGAACCCGATTGGTTAGTTGCAGCTGTAATCTTCAGCGCCTCGATAGCGGCAGCTGCGCCTATATCATCATTCGCCATCGGCCTATCATCAGAACCGGAGCTACAAGAAGCGTCAGTTAATCTCAACTTGGCGGAGCGTCCAAAAAGCCTACCCATATGCCTGAGCATGAGCAGAGAAATGAGACTTGTACTTCTCTTCGTCGAACTCGCTTGATTGGTTATGTTGTTGGCCCTGGTAGCTCCCATGTGAGCCACCTACGGCCTCGTGATACTGCTGGTAGCGAGCTGGATTTTTGGAATCGCCATCAGCGGCTGCATTATCTGAGGTGTAGGAGTATGATTGTGCTGATCCTATCTTCGCCATTAATGAAAGAAAAGGGATGGTTGACAGCCAATTCGTACCTGGCGGCGGTCCATTGTAATAATCACTTGCAGCACCTCGGCCCGAACCTCCTTGAGGGGCATCATCGTATCTAGACCTTTCCGAAGGAGGAGGTCCAGGAGGGGCCGAGTAACCTCCCGCTGGCGCATGACTGGACGGTGGAGCACCAGCAGGGGGTGCGTATGCACTGTTTCCATACGAAGGTCTGCCTTGAGGAGGCGGTCCAGGAGGGGTCGAGTAATCTCCTGCTGGCGCACGACTGTACGGTGCCCCCGCGCCAGGAGCACCGGCAGGGGGTAAATACGTGCTGCTTCCGTGGCGCGGCTCCAGAGATTCTGGGACAGAGTAGTTGTCGTGAGAAGGCTGAGAGTATGAGCTGCTCTCATAGCTAGATGCGCGCTGTTCATGAGGGATGGACGGTAGAGGTGGTTCAGGGAAGCGCTGGTGCGGCTGGCCTGCCTGCTGCTGGTACGATGGCTGGTAGCCAGCGTTCGGAGGGGGTCTATCCATAACAGCTCAAATAAAATTGCGATGCAGATCATACAAACTCGCCTGGATTGATCCCATTCTCCGTAGTCTTCAGGGCCGATATGTTCGCCCCCCGGGCGCGGCCTTTCGTTGAACGCCCCGCCGCGTATCATCTTATTGAAGTCATCATCAGGGACGAAATCCGCCCTGTTATACGCTCCAGACTGGGGCGCGTACTGGGGCTGATCTTGATCATGGCATCGTTGATGGCCACGATCTTCATGACGTTCAAACCTACGCTCTTCATGCTCTTCATGGCGTTCAAATCTACGCTCCTCGCGATCGTCGTGGCGTTCATGCCGACGGTCTTCGCGGTCTTCGCGTCGTTCTCCACGCTGGTGATTAAACTGGAATTGATCATTGCCGTTTAGTAGGAAGACGGTGCATATAATTTGAGGTGAATTAAACTCACCATGATAATGCTTTGAAAGATCTAGTAAGTATTAGAAGATGGAAATTTGAAGAGGAGGAAGGTGACCGCAGCACTGGATATAAGTATTGATGGAAGGATAGTACAGCCCAGTCCGGGCGCGGGGCTATGCCATCATTATGCATCATCGACATTATTTTGTCCAGTTTCAGTACTAGAATAAATAGGACGTCATCGGATCTTTTACTCACACGTGCACCAAAACTTGAAACAACTCTCATCTTGATTCTTGATATCCATGGTCATTAAACACATCAACGATGCCAGAGTGTGCTGTATGATCTTTGAAAAAAACCGGCGTTATCAATGACTCAATGCCATGGCATGTTACTTGAGCAACTATGTACTTGGCCACTTCTGTCTCGCATGATGGCCACAGATCTGTACTTGTTATTGAGGCAGTGTACATCTCAACGAGGGTAAGTACCCTCCTGAGTCCTGACCGTTGATCATCGATGTCCGGACTGTTGACCCAGGTGGACCACCAAATTTGATGTTTCAAGGTGTCCGGACCCGAACTTTCCAGGTGAAAAATGTCATTGGGTCGATTTCTGTCCAGACGCGACTGACCGAGGTTCCATAGCCAGGGGAGGCGTGTTACTCCTTAATCCACCCCACAGTGTGGCCACATTCAACTACTGGCCCTCTACACCACTCTTATGGCAGTTTCTTCTAAACTGACAGAACAAAATTGACATCCATCTATTCTTCTAGCACATGACGCACTCCCTGACTTCGACTCCATAAACTCTATCACGAAGTCTACTGCTGGGACTGGATCCGATTTCTATGAACGCGATCTAGCAACTCGCAGATACGCCATCGCTGGAGTGGCATGCTTAAGTCTTGTCAGCTGCTGTTTCATCGTTGCAGGCACTGTCATTATTTGCTATCGCGGACCTTCGGGTATGATTACGCTGATGATGGGAAGCAACCAGGACCTGCAATCAGAGATAATGATCCTGGCACTAAACTTAATCGTCACATTGTGTGGGGAGTCCATAGGCTTCATGTACAGCACCTCTTTACGCTCTGCGCTAACCTCAGAGTCCCGGCTTAGTTTTAGCGTTAATCTGCGCCTCATGACCGCAGCTCGTGGATAGTGCAACCCTAACGGAACCCTGATAAACGGTCTAATGACTGTCCTCATTGTATCCTACAGCTCAGTCACACTCGTCGCAATGTGGTTTCTTGCCATTGCATGGCCGCGCTTGTCATGTACCAACACAACACGCCCCCTTCAAAGTCCTCGAAATCATGGTCATTTTTTCCTGATGTCATGAATGGCCCTTATGCCTTCGGCTACAATATTAACACGGCCTCCAGGGACCTCAGTGCGCAGACGTGGGTTCTGGCGATTGCCCAGGGACCATTGACGCTTGGTCTGCATTGCTCGGAACTCATCGCAAACGCCATTCAGCATGAAAGGTGATGGAGATGTGCTACAACAAAAAAGGACTTCATACGGCGACGAACCCGCTGAACGTGTTTCTCACTAATCCCCTCCGTCTTTTCCTTTTCGTCGTGAAGCCTGCGCTACGTGAGTCATTCGCAATTATCATTGATCGGTTTTCTTGAACAATATCATTCACACTATAGACTGGATGCTTGGCTATACGTTCTTGTTCGTTTGCGCGAACAAACTGTTGCTCAGGCTAGCGAGCCCGCTGATATGACCGAGGATGTTGTTACCTTGATTGTAGGACTCTCCGGAATAATGTATGCATACCAGGTTTGCATTTACTGTCCAAGTACAGCTGCTACAACATCTCACACATTCGTGCAGATCCTGAACTTATATATAGCGCTGTTGATACCTGCCTGTGTCTTCACTCTCGTCGCACTGCGCCGACCACGCAGCCCCCAGCCAGCCGCATACGGGCACCTCCAGACGCTCGCCAACCTTGTGGACGAGTGGTCGCCTGTGATGTGATGGGGTCCCGAGGATAGAATCCCGTATTGTCATGCTGGTAGGGTATTCTGTGGTCACGATGATGCTGCATTGACGCTCTTGAACAGGGACGAACGATCATCCGCTGCCGGATGTGAAGATGAACTGTGTTTATGCTGGTTCCGATATCGTGCCCCATCTACCCATCTCCGCTCTTGAAAAGGCATTTATTAATTTATCTTTGTCGAGTCGGGCTGACGATACATTTAGTGATGACGGTGCGCACGGCCAGTCATCTGTAATTTTCATACTGCCTACGCGTCGCATGTAGCTTGGTATATCGTCGTAAGTATCATAGTGCTTTCCAGCTGTTTGGATATTGGCCTTGACTATACTTTGGACTGGGACTGATCTACTCGATCAGTAAGTAGTCTAGATCTTCAACGTTTGCGGATTCCACACCTTCCTCACCTTCCTCACATTTCCATCTTTACATATCATTACTGGTAATCGGAGTGTACGATTATGATTTTGAGTCTGAGGAAATTCAAATTTCGATTGCACCCCGTTTCAGACCCATCATCAGAAGTCCAACGAAAGTCCAACGAAAGGCTACTCAAGCAACGTGCTCCACCAAAAATAAAATCGATGATGATCTCTCAATACGATATCGAACTATAAGCTAATGATGTATGTATGTGTGGTATCGCCTTAATTGAAATTTGAAACGCTCTTGCCGTCCGTAATGTCCATGCACACAATAATATTCCGAATCATGCCCGGTGATGGCCACCACTACCATTCCGTCTACAACTCCCAATCCCCATCCCCGCTCTAACCAACGTCTCCAAACACGCTCTTCCATTGATCACTAGATCTTCATCCCACTCTACCGCTCCCCGCTCGAATAAGACGACGAGCGTCGAGCCCCCTGTACAGACGTTCATTCAGAACACGTGCAAGACGAGTTGAAGGCAGAACACGCACCAAACGCAAAATATCCAAGCTCTTGACCACGCTTGACATCTTGCCCCTCTTCAACAGTCGTCTTGATACTCCCCACCATCATCGCACCAACGCAGACCACCATCACCCGTCCAAACTGTGGACTATCAATCGGTATGATCTTCCTCACGTTCTCCCCATACACATCCAACGCACTCCGAATCGCTTGAGGCTAACCACACCACAACCATCAGTCCCACCAATAACGAAACCGAAAACGAAAACACGCACATTCACAGTATAATACTCCCCCTTTATATCCCTCATTTCCCCGATCTTTCCATCCACAGGAACATGGAACCGATGATAATCCTGCGGCGCAAGCCTGAAAATCGCCAATGGCCCACCTACGTACTTCTCCGCCTCATCGCGGTACGCATCGCCTAGTAACCTCGCCACGCTGAACTCGCGGCCTTTGATCCAGAGCTTAGTAGCTTCGGAAACGGTTTCGAAGACCATTAAGCGGCAGTCTGCGGCACTGACGAGGCGACGTGGGTCGTCGGGGCTTTCGACGGGTCGGGCGGAGGGCTTGAGTTTGCGGTAGAAGAAATCGTTGAAGGTTTCTGAAAACGGATCAGGGGCGTGAGAACATGGGAGGGTAGAGACGTACTGAAAGAGCTTATTGGCTCTAAGATCTCATCGACCTTGAGTCCATGGAACTCGATGAAACTCGGGATATCGCGAGCGGATTCTGGGGAGTCGTACTTGGCGCCTTGCTTGATGGACAATGACTTGAGAAGGCGGCGAGCTAAAACAAGGGAAGTCAGGACAGAACGGTGGGTATATGCTATGAATACACGAACCTCGTGCACCCTCCATCCTCCCTCTAGCACCCTTATACAACAACCGAATCCCAAGCCTCACATACACCTGCATTTTCTCCTCTTCCAGCTGTCCCGTCATTCGATTCTGCACGATGATATTCGCCGAGTTCTACGAGATGCACCATCAGCACGATCGGCTCAAAATATCAAGGACGAGAAAAGGTAAATGAAACTCACCGCTCCAATCCTATAATTCCCATTCGACACCTTCGAAATAACCTTCGTATACCACTTCCTCTGCGCCTGACTAGCAGTCACGAAATTCCCCACCACGATCCTATCCACCTTCGCCCAATCCTGACTCGCGCATATAGCCAGATGCGTGATGATGTCCATCTCCGCTTTCGAGTTCAATCGTGGCCTGTGACAAAGCGGGCAATTCCTGATATTGATCACCCGCTCGAAGGTATCCGAGCAGACTTGTGTTGAAGTCGTGTCATCTGGATCGGATGAGGAACTAGAGTCCTGTCGTGTGTTGCTGGATGTAGACCCTGAAGGCGTTGAAACCACCGACAATGGCTCCGCGACGCTCAACAACGGCTCTGCAATATTCAACAACGGCCTCTCATTCGCCTCCGTCACAAACAACGGCCTCCCCATCTCAACCGGCGACTCCTCCCCTAATATCGCACTCAACGGTGGACCCGAGAAATCCAACCCTCCCAAGAACGGCCGTCCAAGCGCCAAGCCAAGCTCTTCCCCAGGCGTAACAGACTCCGACGCAGAAGCACTGCTGTCCCTGTCCATGAAGCTATCAATCGTGTCGATCCTCTTTTTCTCGCACGCTGGTCGTCCGAGCTCTGTTTCTAGACATTGGATAGTTTCTTCGAACGTTAGTTCATCTTCTACTGGTCGTTTGCGGTGTCGGGTGAAGAAGGAGTCGATGGTTTGCGCAGAGAGGGTGGAGCCGAGAGAATCGAGCATTGATGTGAGTTCCACGTGTGAAATAGAACTTGTATCGTCTGTATCGTACTGTTTGAGATACTGTGCCCAGAAGCGCTGACGAAGCTCCGCGTAGGGCTGGAACTTTGCTCTGCCACACAAGGAAGATAAATAAACGAACGAAAACGGAACAGTAAACGAACGCACCGGAATGAGATGGTAGGATTATGCTTCGCCTCCCAAGGCATCTCCTTCGCCGTCGTCAACGGCAGACAAAACTGCCTCATCTCTCTCCCTTCACTACTCCCACTTCCCTCCGTATCGCTCTCCCCGCCCACATCCGCATACAACCCCGTCCTTGGATCAGGCTGGGGCGCGTCTCTCACCAATTCACCCACGTCCAACCAAGCATCTCCCACGTGATCGTTACTCGATAGTTTATCCCAGTCTAGGACGGTCATTTGCACCTTGAAAGACGTCTCGTATCGACGGACGTGGAAGAGAAGTTTCTCGTCCCAGGTGGGGTTGAGGGAGTGTCGGATAACGCGCGTACGGAAGATCTTTTTGGAGAAAGAGATCACTACGAATGGGTCCATGTCGAACCCGGTACGGGTTACTGCAAAAATAGAAGGATGGTCAATACTAGATAAAGGCTACGATGAGTTGAGCGCACTGTTCTTCAGCTTAGGCAAATCACTGGCGCCTTGTATCTCGAGCATGACGATCCCGACGATATCGTTTGAATTCGCAGCAGAGAAGTTGTAATCTACCTTTTTGCTTGACCATGATTTCCGGAACCTCTTTTTCGGCGGCTGATAGACGGCGGGACTGGGAGGACTTGGAGAAACGGGAGAAGAAAGGGAAATGGGGACGATGGCACTAGCACTCGCTGATCGGCGATGCGTACGTTCCGTGGGAGGAGTATGCGTATCATATGATGGTGAAGTTAGGAGATTGGGCCGGCGGGGGAAGAGTTTCGGGAGTCTGCTTTTGGATGCGGACGCAGTGGCGCTGGGCATGGTAGGGATGATCAGGGTAGGTACATTTGTAGTGGTCGTAGGAGGCAACGGACGCGCGGCCTCAGGCTCCCGTTCCTCAGGCTGTTCGTGGGAGATCGGTGAGGAACGTGGAATAAGAGGAGACGGGAGGTCATCGGGGCGCGCCGTCTCCGGTGTTAGTTCTTGACTCTCAGGAGAGTGATCCTGGAGGAGGGATGGGGAGAGGTAAAGACGGGAGAGGTGGGGAATGAGGTCTTCGTCCCCCTCTTCACCTTCCTCCACAACATCGTCGTCGTCTTCCTCGTCAGAGCTGATTCCACCGTCATCTTCGTATGCTGGGCCTGTGAGGTGGGATCGCATGGTGCCGATGCCCTCTGTCTGTTAGTTGAATAGGAGATGGATCAGTTAGGGGGAAAGAAACAAAGGAGGTGGAAAGGAGACGCACTGGAGGGGCAGAAACGAGACTCGGGCGCGATCGCTTTACGAGTTCGGCAAAGACTCGGTCAAAATCCATTGTGGCCTGTGCACCAGGGGGTGCAACGAAACCGAGTTTGATGACTGCCATCCCCGATGCGTGCGTGTTTGCGCGTGTGGATACGAGGTTTACAGAGCGTGGCTACAAGCCTATATCAATACCAAGTCCCATGAATATGACTGAGGCGCACCTTATTGGCTTCCGCTGAGAAACCTAGGCCACTGGCAAGTACATCTCCGTCGCTGTCCCTGAACCAGGACTCGAGAGCAAGTGCGACTTCGCCGACGTATTCCTTCTTCAACTTCAAAGTATCCTTGTCCCAGACAACTAGTTCGACAGATCCTAGCCTATCAGCAAGGGAGAGGTAGATAGGAAAATCAAAGGTTGCATCTTTAGCTGCATAAACGGGATTCTGCGTGCGTTTGAGGACAGGAGTATTGTGGCGATTGTTAAGGAGGGAAACGACGACCAAGCTGTATCACATGGTTAGGGTGATAAAGGATAGGCGCATTGACGTGAGAGTGGAAGACTGACGGATTGATGTCGCCCTCTTTTGGCTGTGTGCCATTCCGAGCCCTTGCAAGGCCACGACAGCCTTGTACTTGAACACGGAGATAAACAACGGGCTGTTCGCCTGGTGAAGGAGAGAAATTGTTTCGTCCAATACCACGACCCGGGAAACGCGCTGCGGATTTGAGTGCGCGCCCAATTTTTTTAGCTTTCTTGGGCACGGCGGGTGCCATATTGAGATGGTGTTCAGAGTCGAGTTGGACAACAATGGTGGTCAGGTTGAAAGAAAAATGACAACTTGAAACGCGTTGATATGCAAGTTGATATACAGGAGAACCTGGTTGGCAGTTATCGTGCTGTGGCACAGCTAATAGGCCTCCTCAGCGCCAGGCCGGCGGTCGTTGGATAGCCACGAATTCCAGTGGCAGCTTTGTTAAAAACAAACGAAAAATTTGATGAATGAGATAAAAACAAAGCCAGAAGGCAAGCAGAAGGCCAGAAGGGTTTCAGCTTTAGCGTAATAATCAGCCATATGGACGTCATGCGAGTCAATTTACGATCGTGGGTTTCCCTTTCACCCAGTTTTTGATCTACCCGCATAATCAAGCGCTCGCTATTTCTTCCCTGGATCCAGCTTATTTCCGATTCTATGCAAGTCAGTGCTCCAGGCCTCCTACAGCTAAACTACCAAATCTCGACATCCTTACACTGTCGAATCCTCGCCCACAGCCACGACCGTATAAATAGCCAACCGACAGTGCCCAGGAGATCAGTTGTCGATCTCGTTTTCCGAGGAACCTAGTCTCCAGAAGCTAACCCAAATATACCTTGCTGCTATAATGGTACAGATAAGGTAGTAAAGATAGATTCGCTAAGGAGCTTAGACGAGCAGTACCGATCATCATCCGGGTTAAATGCTGCACAGTAACTGGTCTCGAGCCTTACCAGATGGTTGCTCTTGTAGCATCCACCATGGATAATCAGTGGCGTCGTCCTTCACCACCGCGCATGCCAACTTTGCGGTTGACCTTTGGCAATAACGGGACAAGTCGAGTTTCCATTATCTATGCGCACATCGTGCCAAAGTACCTGCCATCCAAGGCAGTATAAGCGATGATTCACATCCACGGGAAATTCTCGAACCTTTGAACATCATTACTCCAACAATAATCCGCTCGCACCGCCTATATCAAGGCCATGTTCCAGCATAATAACAGTGATCAGCATGTCTTCAGCACGACTTTACATTGTTGACTATAATCAAGTCCGCAGCGCATTCAACCAGATCTGCAATGACAGGATGTTGGTACACCTCATTAGGAAATTTGGCATAGCACGAGCCAAGGCGATGTACCAGACGCATCCCTTCGGTGCTGAAAATGATCATCAATAGTGCGAGAATGTCAATGTCCTTGTTTACGATCGATAGCCTCGACAGCTACCGCACGAAGGTACGCCGTGAAGCTGTCGACGAAACGACGCTGACAAGTGATGCTTATAGTTTGCATCACACAAACCGAACACCTACATACGCAAAAATCAGATGCGTCAAATAATAATAATAACTTGAGTTTCCTGGTAGAACTGCCGTACCGAGTCGCCATACAGCTGATTTCGTCAAGCGTTCCAGCCTTTCAAGCGAATTCAGTACGCGATGATGTCCTGTTCCATGTTGTAATTCGCATAGGCCCTTCAGCGCCAGCCCCAGTAGCAGATCTTGACATCCTTACAGCCTGAGCGACTCCGAATATATCAACATCCTCAAACTCACATCGGCTTGTCAAAGTGCCCGCAAAGCGCATGGCTGCAAGATTGGATGGTCTATATGATGGTACAGATAAGATGGTAAAGATAAACTTGCTAGCAAGGCGAACGGCGGCCCAGTAACTTTAAAAACTACACCTATTGTTTACAGAAGACAGATCAAATACATACATCGATGAAATGTACCAGATCACATAACGCTAGTACCAATCATCTGCAGACTAATCTGCACAGCATAATTAGTTGGCAGGCTGGTCTCGAGTCTGATGGTTGCTCGTGGTGCGCTGTAGCATCCACCGTGGATAATCAAACACGTGGCCCCTGGCCACCGCGTATGCCGGCTTTGCGGTTGACCTTTGGTAATAATGAGACGAGCCCAGTTTCCAGTATCTTTGGGCCCATTGTCCCAAAGTACCTGTAATTTAAATCAACGTAAGTCATGATTCATATCAATGGCAAATTCTTGCGACCTTTGAATATCGTAACTCCAACAATGATCTGCTCGGGCCCACTGGCAGTTTGCTATATCATCAAGATACTCCTTGACTACATAGGACATCGGTGGAAGGTTCCCAATTGAGGCGTCGTTCTTTCCTGGAGCTGTATTTCTTCTCTCACGATGGTACAGTTACCCAATACCCCCCAACCAGTACATATTGAAGTTTGTGTGGGTATAAGCGCGACGAACTAGGGCTACGCACGGCGCTTCTTGATTGCGGCAACTCAATCAGTTATGCTTTCAGCCCACTTGCGGCGTCAGGGATTTTGGCAAGCTTTGATGCCATACTGGGCTTTCCTGCTTGGAGGTCTGAGGCGCAATTAGCTTGTTCCCAAAATTAAAATTTGCGCTGACTTTGGTGCTCCAGATGGCTCTTCTTTCTGGAGGGCATTTTGACCATCGTGGTTGCAGTGTCCGCAATTTGGATTTTACCAGATATTCCTTCGACGTCGAGCGTCTGGCTTTCGCCTGATGAACAAACCTCAGCCAAACGGCGGGTGGAAGAGGAAATTGCAACCGGAGATGAGCACCAGGGCAAGCCCGTAGAGGGCTTTTCTGGTCTCGTCGAGGCTCTTGTGGATCGGAGAGTATGGTGGCTTGGTGCTGCTCTTTGTTTCATGGTTGCTTCTTTATCATAGCAAATTTGACAATAGACAAGGCACTCCAATGCAACTGGTGAACGCTTCTCGCATATCGCCGGCCCTCTACTTGTCGGCGTCGCTGGGTTTATCATTGCCATTTCTACCATGAATACGGCTGTTCGATATCTGTCGATGTATGATCCATATGTTCCTCGTTCTGCTATTCCACTGACCTGCACCGTCAAGGTTCTTTATGACTCAGCCCCCAGTTGCCTTTGTCGTCTTTCTCACCTGGATCATGAACACCTTTTCCCAATCCCAGTCGAAACGAGCTGCAGCCATCGGGTTAATCAACTCGATGGGAATGCTTGGCAACATGGGTGCATCGTCAGTCCACAGCGACCTCGTTATCTATGCTACTACTGACGTCGTCGCATCAGGCAGCACCTTGCCCGGTGTAATGGAACTGCTGAAGCCGAAGAGCAAGCTCTAGGGCTGCCAAAGGGTTTTAGATATCTCCTGTAGTACTCACTGTTCAGCTGTCCCAGAAAAATACGACATGACCGCCGATACCATCATGTTTGTTGTCCGCAGGGATGCGACATCTGCATCTGACTTGAACGGGATCCAACACTGTCACGATCATATCACTTCATACTTCAAGATGTCGCCGATGCTTTCATAATGCTTCAGACTGGTGTATAATGTTTAGATATACAAGCAGCGATCGTAGTTGCCACCTTGGTTCGCACCCCACCATGCCGGGAAAAGATGTGCTGTTCCGGCAGCCCCTTGGACCGCAAAGGAGAGAATGAATACCATGACTTGTGTTCCACCATCAAGAGCTATGGTATAGCATGATTTTTTGAAAGTCGAGATAAGAAGGCCACTAAACTCACCGGCGCCGACCCAGTAGTTGTATTTCATGAACCAACGCGGGTACCGAGTACGGAGCCACCACTGAGACAAGAAGGCGATCGCGTAATACGACAGGATTGAAGAGTTTATTCCAACGCAAAGCACTCCAATGTACACACTGCACACATAATGAGGGTTTGATATCGATTATTAATGTATTTAGAGCGTACCAGATGATAGGGGTGTAAGAGTAATCCATGCGCAGTTTCGGCCAGTAACGGTGAATAATCCAGAAGGGAAGAGGTGCAACCAAGCCAATTAGATAGGATAAGGGGACCCATTGGTACCTTTGACCGGTTGAAAAGAGTTCGTGAGCCAGGCCGCCCCATGCAATGGCTTGCGAGTTGTATGACTGAGGTTGCTGACCAGACCAGATATTTGTTCCTTGTACAGATAGTAGGATTTCACGTTGACTGTCGATGATAGAATTCATCAACACTGAAACAACAAATTAAATGTGATGAATGGATGGGCAGGATGACTCCCTAACCATAGTTGAGAACAGCGCCAAGTAAGGTGCCAATGATCTGAGCCGTGAATGCAGCGCGGGGAGGCAATTTGGCATCTGCGTATCTGCAAGTGAGAGGAACCTCCCCTGACAACGAATGTAGACGCACATTGAGCAATCTTCAGGTCACCTAGTAGCAATAAAGCTTGAGACACAGTATTCTGAAGGAAAATCGATCAAAAACAGGTCCAGGACGCGAAGACGAGAGTGCGCACATAGCTGTAAAGGACCTGTCAATATCAACATCAGTAGCGGTCACAGATCCGGAAAGTGTGTCGATACCAACAAAGAACATGTTCGCCATGGGTCTTCCGTTGTGGAGGTAGCCGGCAATCATTTGAACCAATGTTTCTTCACCGAAAGATCAACTTAAGGCACCGTGTAGTGCATAAACGATACTTACGGATGGAAAGAGCAATGCCGGTGATAGCGTACAATGCGCCGAAGAACAAGATAGATACGCTGGCCAAGAGTACTGCGATGACGAAACCCCACCTGAAAAGAATTCCTACTTTTTTTGTCAGATGGAGAGGATGTTGCTCACCAGGGCAGCGTGGAATTTGTCTTGTAGATGACGACCAGCCCAACGATAAAGGAGAGAACAAACGTTACGAAAGTACCAGCTATTCGGAGCATCTGGATACTGTACGGCAATGAGTTAACGTTGTCCATCTGATGTCCTAAGGACTAACCTTCAGCATCTCGCGGTAGTGTGGGTCGAGGTTCCTCAATGTTGATGGGAACTTCCCTCTTTCCACTGTGCTTCCAGAATTTCCAATCAAAATTAGCACGCCAACTCCTCAGTGTGTCCATGTTCATCCAACTCCAGGCTGCACGTAAGTCATCTTTATTCCACAGGAGGAGGTGAGTGAACGTCGCAGCCAGTCCCTGTGGTAGAACTATGAGCAAAACACTTCACATCAGCAGCATTTCTTGACTCACAAGATTAGTTGACAGAAGGTTAATAATCCAGGTACCGGCGTAGTATGGAAGCCCTTGTTCCGCGACTAAGGCGGGGTCCACCTCGTAGTTGGAATTCATAATCAAAGTCTGGTCGTAGACAGTTCCGTTCTCGTAAAAGAGGAGCTGCGCCAACTGAGATGCACGGCGCATTATTAGCCCGGACATTAGAAATCGCAGTAGAGGTTTTACGTACAAAGGGGAAGTTTTGAGAGTCCCATATGTTGGTGTAGAATACCGCAACAAAGACGACCCTTCATCTCCCTCAGTAATATTATGCACCGTGACTGAAATCACATACATGCAGAGAATGCAACCAATGAAGCTGGAGAGCTAGGGGAGACGTCAGAAGTTTCATATGCGCTGGTGTGCCAACTGACCTGAGCTTTCAGTGGAATAGTCATCGGGTTGACACCACCCGAGATGTACTGCACAAATTGAGTTCAACTCAAGAGTCAACCATATCTGGACAGCGGGCATTACCTGCCAGTCGAAGCACAGGGACAATAGACCAAGGCCCTCGTTTCCGTTGGAACCACCAAATACGCGAGAAACAGCAGCATTGTTAGGAGCAGCCAGGCAGAATATTGAGAAACCAGTGAGTAGTGGAAAAATCCATTCAGGGAATATCTCCCATATAAATATGCTGAGTTCAAGATCGTTAGAATTGAGACTATGATTCATTGATGATATCTAAACATACGCAGCAAAGACGACGTAGAAGACCTTGAGCTTGCGGCGTGCTTCGAAGCCATCGCGATAGAGAGCGTCGAACATGGAAAGCAACGGGAGAACACCAGGGTATAACATCTTCGACGGATAAAGGAGGATCCCTGAGAGTCGTGAGCTGAGATTTTGAGCATAGCTACTGTTGAAGATAAACATACCTCGCATCATACCGCCGATCCCATAGCTGCGATTTTCGGCGTTAGTGATGGGTGGAGCAGGGAGCACGTCAGTGCAACGCACCCGAGCAATTGAGAGGAGAACAACAAAAAGATTGATGAGCCAGCGTTCGGCGTGATGTTATAATACAAACTAATGAGTCGTCAATCACCATCGACCGAGGAATTGAATTATTAGCCCACCGTTGGACAGCAAGGACCTCCGTAGCCAATGCAGAGTTCGCGGCTGCACTAGACATGATGATAATGAATGCATTTTCCTTTTTATTAAAGGGTCCCTGATATTCATAAATCATGCGTGAACTTCAAGGCCAGGAGCTATGTGGAAGACGCACTGGATTCAAGTATCGGAACAGTCCACGACGGGGGATAAATGTTTCCATCGCAAAGCCAATGATATAGGATAGGATGGCAAGGAACATCGAAGACACTAGGATAGTTTGCTGGAGTGCCAATCCGAATGAGACCTTTGAGATAATGTTTGATCAAGAAACCCTCACAGGTTTGAAGTAATAAATTTGAGCTAGGAAGCAGTATACTAAGTGAGTAAGACACTCGACTGAATGATCTCGACTACTTTACCCAAGGAACCACCGAAGGCGGAAAGGCCAAGACCGATGAAGAAAGCCCGAAGAGTCCAGGGGTTGAGACTAGGATCATCGTCCACGGAAATTACGTGAGTTGCAATTTCTCGCTCGTTCTGAAGAACAACATTCTCGTCTGTTTCAGCTTCTTGGGTGGAAGATTCGACATCCCCTTTCACGAAGTAAGATTTCTCGTCGGTGGCACTAGGGGTTCGTTTCACCGCTTCAGCAGCCATGGCTATCGAGAAGGAGTACGAGGGACCGAGGCAGACCAAGCATGAAATATCAGATATTTAAGTGTGTGTCGGAGGCAGCAAAACCAAGCAAGGAACGGTCTGGGGGGCCGAGAGAGAGATAAGTCCCACTTCATATTAGGACTATCAGGGAGAAAAAGAGGATATCATCGTGGATTCCATAAGAATCAACCAGAATCAAGGCATCCAGGGTCCCACGGCACGCCGCATTTCAGCAGCATGCATCACCTACCGTCTGCAAAGAAAATCTCTTCCGAAAAGATTCCCTTTGGATGAAAGGAACAAAAGTCCTGATTTGAACGACCTAGGAGATGAAATTTGCATCAAGGGTCAGAACATTGACCACCTGATATCTATCCTACCTACGATCAGTCAAAGAGCTGCGATTCGGTCTCCGGAACCCAACTGTGTGACTGACACTTGGTTGAACTGAACTGCCAGACCTTCCACTGCACCGATCTTTGGTTGGATAACCAAAAGGCTTCCATACACCTGCATCTAAAAATGCGAATTTGCAGAAATGGACTTGCAACCTGCTCGCAAGACGCTTGCAAGGGTTTCGTTCTGGTTAGCTCAGGTCTGCGTTCGTAAACGCTCAGTTTGGTTAGGTTGAGACCGATTATCAAGGAACAGTGTCTGTTACTAGTAGGCCATGCGATAATCTTGTAGTAGTATATACTAATAGTACGAACAACTTGCTTTCTACGCTGTAACGATGTAGTCCTTTCTACGAGGATTGTGGTGCCTGCGACGGTTCAATGCGCAACACGTACTCTCACCATCGCCGTAAGCTCACCGTAAGCATCAAACTTCTTTTTGACAAGCGAGAAAAATGGGTCATTTGCAGATTCAATGCCAGCAGCCACAATTCACGGCAACCGTCCTGGCGGCGTGCTCGCCTCGCTGGCACTTACCATACATTCTCAGGCATTTTCTCGTGCACATCCTGACCTCCTAGACGCATTTTATTGAGTGTAGATACTTCATCAATACGTCTTTTCGCTGATCTCAGGACTGTACATCCAGGACTGCAAACCCCACCAAAAAGACCATCAAATTTTCATACGAAGCTGTCAGAGGCTTTGCCAGTGCTAGAACAAAAGACTACTTATCAGTACTTATCCCATTATGCAATGCACACAGGGCCAAATATCACCTTACTATTAGTCGGCCACTCCTTCGGTGAGCATTGTCGATTCTGTCGACCTCATTTGACATAACTAAATTTCAAGTACCTAGAAATCCTCAAGATTAAGGTGATAAGCAGAATCAAGAGTAAGATATTGAAGCAGTAGCGAGACTTCAGTTTTTTTCGGAAGTACGTGGCGTAAAGAGTCATTTCTGGGTAACTTCCATGGCGAATCCACGCACGCGGCCGACCTGTGTTGATTTGATTGCGCGACTTAGCCATGCTGATGCCATCTCTCTAGACAAAGGACTGTGGTTTGCAGAGGGCGATCTCTTCGCTGCACGCGCTGGCAACCATACTCCTACCCCCGACTTTTTCAACTTTACGAACTTCCCAGAACGATGCCATGAAGAGAAATTCCCATATTGACGTTGACCGGTTCGTTGCACGACAAGCTTCGAGAATAATCACTTCATCTCACCCAGTTTCTTTCCCTCGGACACCTCAGGGAAGATTTGTCCAGGCACGGTTATCTCCTTCCTGATCCCCAGGACAGCTTCTTACACTATCTTGTAGTTTTACGGGGTCAGTTTGTTCCTTACCCATCGTTCTGTTTTCTCTGCGCGGGCTTATCACATCTAGCAAGGTAGCTGAGTTTTCTCTTATGCGCTTCTGCAAGTTACTAACCAGCAGCAAGATCACCATGAAGGCTGGGCATGAGATGGTATTCGATGATGGTTCGCGAGTTAAAGTGGACCTCGTGATCTTCGTGACTTGGCATATCTTTTGAAGATCTGTCCGTCTAATCGACTCGAGGACTAAACAAGTTGCCGGGAGCCTTTTAGGGTTCAAGGTTGCGGATACCGTCTGATACCGCCCATGTCGTTGGAGGCTGGGATGGCGATTGTGAGCCTGCGGGAGTTTAGAGGCCTTCTGGATGTAAGACCTGTGTTGATCTGATTGCGCGACTTAGCCAAGCTGATGCCATTTCTCTAGACAAAGGACTTTGGGCGTAGGGCAATCTCTTCGCTGCACGCGCTGGCAACCATACTCCTACCAGATCCTACCCCGATCATCATGCTGGATCGCTTGGCATATAGCGAAGCACTCAACCAATTGCAGGCTGGTAACAGTTCGTCTATTAATGGAATCTATATCAAATACATAGATAATATCTCGTTATCAGCTCGCACACACATCTCATAGAGAACTTTTTCTGCACGGTCCGCGTTCCCTGAGGAGCGAATCCAAGAATGCAGAAGTTGTGCGTAGGGAAGTCAGTGGATGAAGCTCAGCAGCAATATTGTAGATGCGGCGGAGATGACTTCTTGGTGGGTGTACTAGGACATATCATCAACCGATCCCACCATTAGGCCTGTGTCAAATGAGTGAACTACAATTCAACTGATGCAAATGCAGCAAGAATATTTCGAGAGGGTGCGCGAATTAACGACATAGTACATTCTGATAATATAGGAACGGCGGCGACGCAAGCGTGGGTTAGACTTAGCTTTCTAGGTGCGCTATCTTGGAATATTATATGCTGTGTATGTTTGGAAAGCTAAGCAATCGGTGTTGTGCTAATCAGTCATTTCTCACCAGTACCAACATGCTGAGTATGTTTCCTCACATACACCGTCTTCATTTCTTCTGACCGGCGGCATACAGTTGGAGTTCCGACCATCCCGATGACAGATGCAGTGAGTATTCTGCCCTGGTCCCTGTCATTCCCGTCCAATCAACTGCACTCCCATGTAGGGGTGAGTGAGCTTCTTGACCCGCCCGTTGATTCAAGATAATGACTACCACAGTTGTGAGTCTGTTAGGAGTGTGTGATACCCCGAGGCTGATCACTAACTCGATTTGTCAGGCTTCAACATGTACTTCGCAATGGAATGGACGAGTGTCGTCATGTTTGCAATGCTAGGCGGTGAGATACGCAGCTGCAAACCCTCAGTGATACTGACTTGACTGAAATATCATGCAAGTCATCATGATCACCCGGTTATATGCCATGTATCAGCGATCTAGAACGGTGGTGATACTTCTCATTGTCGCCTTACTAGCTGTCACCATCGCCAATGGAGTGATCAACGAAATAGTAACTAGGCATGCCTCAGGAGGTAAGCTCAATTATGGGTGGAATACTGAAGACCATGAGGCTCATTGACGAATGTCAGAGGTGTACATTCTCTTCGGCACCTATGAGTGTGCTATTGACTACGGGGAAAGTGACCAACTTCTGACGCCCATAACTTGGATACTCACCATTGTATGGGAGGTCCTTGCACTGTGGCTCGCAGTCTGGATTGCTGTAAAGCACTTTCGTGAGCTGAGACGATCATCTGCAGGAGGGATTATCGGGGACTGTTTCACGGTGTTAATGAGAACTCACGTGGTCTACTTTGCGAGGTGAGCTCGTAATGTGAATGCGGTTGTCCTTTTTCGCTAAAGCTTCACACATGTTACCTTAGCACTACTGCTACTTCAAGTTTCTGGCTCGGTTATTTGTTTTCAACAATTTCAGCGGTATGTCGATCTGTCACTGACCTCTGCATGTGACTAGAGTTCATCATTTCCATAGGACTCATATTCCTTGCAAAATAAGATTTTGTCTAGTGTCGGTCAAATTTTCTTGCTTGTGCAATTATTTGTGCTGGGACCACGCCTGAGGCCTGATCCTTAGCGTTAGAGAATATCACGCTAAGCTCGTGGACGACTCTGATGCAGCAACCGCCATGACTTCAATTGCTTTCCAGGAGCGCGTGCATGTGTCAACAAGCAGCAGTGTGTAGCACGGGAGATGACTTCTTTACACTGGGAATTCTGCAGGCGAGAGAATATGTTTTGTTCCAAGTTTCGTCGCGGTACTTATTTAATTAAGTTATGTTGTGTTCCGAAGTAGATTTGAAAGAGAAGTAGGTCTGGACAAACATTTATCTTTATGCATCACTGCAGGCGCTAGCTGCTACTGAGTTCTCACACTTGCACTAAGCGGCAAGCTGAAACCACATAAAACGTCTCGCGACCAGTTCTCATCTTACCTATTCCCCACTCAAGCGCCCGGATTGCTTGATAGCTGAGATGTAGCAGTAAAGTGCGAAACCGAA